TGGAGAGGCTTCAGGGGAGTGGTGAAACTTCTGAAACTCTATGCACATTTTAGGGGATAGGTGCATGTATTTCTTGGGAGAGGGTCCCTGGATCAGACCATGTGCTCCAGGGGATCACTGCCACCAGAAGTTGAATAGCCCTGCATTTGTGCTTGCATGTAGAGCCCTGCTCCTGACTTTGTTGTCAGCCTCAGAAGGCCCTGCGGAAGAATCCTTTCTTGCTTCTTTCTAACTTCTGGTGGTTTCTGGCAATCCTTGGTGTTCCTTGGCTTGTAGCTGCCTCACTCCAATTTCTGCTTCTTTACGTGGCTGTCCTCCCTCTCTCTCTCTAATGGGCTTCTAATAAGGACGCCAGTCATTGAATTTAGGGCCCACTCTAATCCAGTATGACTTCATCTTAACGAATTATATCTGCAAAGACCCTATTTCCAAACACAGGGGAAGTGAACAGGTCCAACAGACCTGTACTGTGAGGCAGAAAGTGATGGACATCCCACTTGATAGCACGCAGGGCCCTACCAGAGTTGAAAGGTGGGAACACTTGTGCATATGTCTATCCCAGGGGGGCATGAGGAAAAGCCTCGTGACAGTGGAGGTATCTGAACTAGGTTTTCAGGGATAGAAATGTGGAGAAGTAGGAGAAGGCAAGGGGAACCGCAGGTCAGACACCAAGTTGGGAGATGTCAGGCATGGATGGGAAATGGCTCGGTTTGGCTGGAACCTAATGAGCATTAAGCAACTGGATTGTGGGGGCCTTGAGTGCCAGGCTAAGAAAGTCAGGCTCTAGATTTTCATGCCGGAGCCATGAGGAGTCCCTGAAGGGTATCAAGGCAGGATTAGGGTTATGCTTCAAGAAGGCTAACTAGACAGCAGTGGCTATGATGGGAGGAAGAAATGGACGGAGTCAGTTAGGAGGCTACAGCAAGGGTCCCAAGAAAGAGAGGACCAGGACTGGAAACTGGCCAGAAGCCTTGTGAATGGGGCAAGAAAGTGGATAAAAAAGCATGAGACAGAGTATGTAGTGAGGGCAGGACCAGGAAACTCATTGGATGATGCCATGTATTTTGTTTTTTTAAAGTTGGAAACATTTATTAACCTTAACATTCATTTTTTTTAATCATGTTTTTTGTTATGCAGCGTTTTACGCACAGCCAGCCCTGGTGGTCTAGTGGTTAAGATTCAGAGCTCTCACGGCCGCAGGCCGGGTTCATGTCCCCATCAGGGAACCACACCACCTGTCTGCTGGTTGTCATACTGTGGTGGTTGTGTGTTGCTGTGATGCTGAAAGTGATGTCACCAGTATTTCAAATACCAGCAGGGTCACCCATGGAGGACAGGTTTCAGCAAAGCTTCCAGACTAAGACAGACTAAGAAGAAGGACCTGACCACCCACTACCAAAAACTTGGCCATGAAAACCCTCTGAATAGCAGGAGAGCACTGTCCGGTCAAGCACAGGAAGGTGAGGGGATGGAGCAAAAAGACCAGGCAGGGTTCCGCTCAGTTGTCCACAGGGTTGCTAGGAGTCAGAATCGACTCGATGACACTAACAACAACAAAATTTTATACACACAAACAAATATAGGTAATGCACATGTAAGTTATGAAGCATAATAGTCACATAAGCATCCTCGAATCTGTCACTCACTCACAGTCCTACCTGTGTGTTTGATGTCATCCCCTGCCCTACATTTAATTTTGTGTTGACCATTTTCTTACATTTTTCTTGTAATTTTACCATATCTGTTTGTATCACTAAAATGTTATTTTGTTTTGTTGGTTTTGAACTTTATAAAAATGGCATCATACTGTGTATACTCTTTCTCTCTTTCTATATTCTTAATTCAACATTATGTTTATAAAATTCATCCATGGTGGATGATTTTGGCTTTAAAAGAAATGGAAAAGGCAATGAGTGCTATTTGGACCTTTGTATTTCACAGGCAGAAGGCACCTCTGACTGGAGACCTCTAGGGATGGACATGTCTGGTCCCTTGGATGCCACCGCAGAAGGCATTTCAGAGGAGCTAGCTAAGCTTCTCTCTGTTCCATCCCTGCCCCTAACCGTAACTGAGAGGCAGGCGCCATAGTAACACATTCTAGGCCAGGAGGCTCCATAAAGAAAAATTGCTGGCTTAACAACAACAACAACATTTATTTTGCTCAGAAATCTTCAGTCTGGGCAAGGATAGCTCATTTCTCTTCCACTCTGTGTTGAATGGGGCGGTTTGAAGCCCGGGGGCTGGAATCATCTGGGAGCTCACTCATTCAGTCTGGTGCCTGGGCTAGGAAGGCTCACACAGTTGGGGGCTAGAACAGCTGGGGCTCCTCAGGCAGCTCCCTTTCTATGTGCTCTCTCTACACTGTCTTTCCGTGATAGCAGCTTTAGAGAGCCCAGCTTCTTATATGGCGGCTCATAGATTCCAATGCTTTTGTCCCAAGAGAAGGAGAGCCAGATAGAAACTATATTGCCTTTTATGGTCTAGTCTCAAAAGCCACATGGCCATACTCTGTTGACAGAGGAGTTACAAAGGTCCACCCAGGTTCAAGGGGGAGTGAACACAGTCCCCATCTCTTGAAGGGGAAGTGTCAACATCACATTGTAAGGATGAGAGATATTGGTATGGCCATCTTTGGAAAATACAGTCTGCCACAGACTCTGACCTAGAAAGAATGAAGTGCCTTGATGTATTTTCACAGGAGAATGCTGAAAAAGAGTAGGAATATGCATAGGAAGAATAATGGCCTAGAAAATAACTAGCTAGACATCCGGGTCTAGGGTCTAAGATACATCTCTCTTGGTTCATAAACCAAAGAAATGGCATCAATCACAGAAATTGGACTCAGCTCCTGTGACTAACAATTACTGTGCAGTAGCATTTAATTCAAACAACAATAATTCTTTTTGAGCCCCCTTTTCTTATTAGGTGCCATGGTAGGTACTGTGTACAAAGACAGTGAATGTGCATGTTCCGACATGCTCACAAGCTGCTTACTGGAGAATCCAGTGACCAGACAAGATAGAACAAGGTGATAAGAGGTAAGAAAAGGGAGAGGGGGCGAAGGAAGAAAGAATAAATAAGACTAAATAAAGGAGAAATAAAAAGGATGGAAAGAAGATTTAAAAATATTTCCATTTTTGTCTGAGTCTCTCTTTTTCTGCTCCAATATAACTTTTGAGCTCTTTCCCCACAATCTCACACACCGCAGTTTTTAACTACTAGGTTCTTAGGAGGAATTTGCAATCATATGTCGTGAAGACGATGTTTTTTATCTAAAAAACTGAAAGCCTCAGGATTCCTTTTCGAGGGGGTCTTCAAACCGCGCCAGGAGTCCTCACAATCTGCACACGGTTATGAGCAGGCTCCTTCTCTAGTTTCCCATTTCAACTCCTTGGGACACCATCCTCCAAAACACGGTCCACTTGTGGCCCCTCACCTATGGGTTCTTACAGGTGGGCGGGATTCACGTGATTGGACTTGAGTGAGGGGAACAGACTCCCACTTGCAGTGTGACTCGGTTCTGTTTATGGGGGGAAGAGGGCTGATGCTCTGTTTGTCTCCATCTCCACAGAACTATCTGCTGTGGAACTGAAGAAACGATAGGGTGTGAGGAATTCACGTGCAGTCAGTAATTGGTTCTGGGGTCTTTTCAGGCTCTCTCTATCTTTGGGGCCATCTGGGCTCTTCCACTGCCAGCCCCTACTGCTTCTGCGGGAAGATGAGTGTGGGGCCCACCCAAAGTTCTGCAGAATTGGTCCTCCAAGCTGAGGAGGCTTCTGAAATTTCCTTTGTTATTATTTTAACAGTTTTATTGAGATACAATTCACATACCATACAATTCACCCATGTAAAGTGTACAGTTCAATGGTTTTTAGTATATTCAGTTGTGCAGCCATCACTACAATTTTAGAACATTTCATCATCCAAAAAGGAAACCTTGTCCTCATTAGCATTCCCTCCTCATTTCTCCCTAACCACTCTCCTCCACACTACCACTCTAGGAAACCACTAATCTACTCTCTACGGCTAATGGATCTATCACTATTCTGGACTTTTCTTATATGTGGCATCCATAGATACAACATGTGGTCTTCTGTGACTGGCTTCTTTCAAGATTTGTAAGTTTATTCCATGCTGTAGCATTTATTTATACTTCGTTTCTTTTTATTATGGACTATTATTCTGTTTTATGGATATAAGACATTTTATTTATTCATTCATCAGTTGATAGACGTTAATTTCCAATTTTTTACTATTATGAATAATGCTGCTATGAGCATTAGTGTACAAGTTTTTGTGTGGGCATGTTTGTATTTCTCTTGGGTGTATACCTAGGAGTAGAATTGCTGGATTATATGTTAATTCTGTGTTTAACCCTTTGAGGAACTGCCAGGCTGCTTCCCAAAATGGCTGCAGCATTTATAACCCCAATAGTGTAAACGGGGGTTCCAGTTTCTCCACATCCTCACCAACGCCTGTTATTTTTGCCTTTTTTACTATATTTATCCTAGTGGATATGGAATTATATCTTTTGGTTTTGATTTGCATTTCCCTGATGGCTGGTAATGTTGAGAATCTTTTCAGGTGCTTACTGACCATTGTATATCTTCTTTGAAGAAATGTGTATTCACATCCTTTGATCATCTATTAATTGGGTTAATTGTCTTTTTATTATTGAATTATAAAAGTTGTTTATGTATCTTGGATACAAATTCCTTACGAGATATTTGATTTACAATTGTGTTCCCATTCTGTGGGTTGTTTTTTTCACCTTCTTGATGGTGTCAGTTCAAGTGCAAAAGCTGTTGATTTTGATGCTATCCAATTAATTTTTTTTATTGTTGTTGCTTGTGCTTTTGGTGTAATAGCTAAGAAACCATGGCCCGATCCAAGACCATGAAAATTTATGTCTATGTTTCTTCTATGAGTTTAACAGTTTAGCTCTTATATTTAGGTTTTTGATCAATTTTGAGTTAATTTCTGTACATGGTGTGGGGAAGGGGTCCAATTTCATTCTTTTGCATGCAGATAGCCTGTTTTCCCAGCACCATTTGTTGAAAGACTATTCTTTCCTCATTGAAATGTCTTGGCCTACATCGTTGTTTTTTATGGCATGGAAAAAACAATGAGAAACTAAAGAAATGGCGGAGAAATTTCTTGATGAGGCCCAGACAGTAATAATGATTCATGATAGCTACATTATATTGTGCCTGTTACAAGCATTATCTCATTGAAGCCTCACAAAAACTCTATGAGGTACATAATGCTTATTCCCGTTTTACAGATGAAGAAATCAAGGCTGAAAGAGGTTAAGAAGCTTGCCCAAAGGGCCATTGCTAATAACTAGTGGTGCTGGGCTTTGCATCCTGGCCAATCTGACTTCAGAACTGCTATGAACAATTATTGGCTCATACCGGAAATAACAATGGCAGCTAATTATGTGTCAATCACTATTCGAAGCACATTACTAACTCATTTTATTCCTGCAATAACCAAATTCCTGTAATACTTTTATACCTGCATATGGATGGATAAACTAAGAAACAGGGAGATTAAATAACAGCCCCACCAGTAAGTGGGAGAGCTAGCATTTGAACCCAGAGTCTTTGATTTTTAACCACTATTCTATACTCTTCAAAGCTCTGTTGCATCGGTTTTCAGTTTCTAACTGCAGCTTCTCTTTTTTGGATAGCTTTATAATCTATTGATTTGTGATTCCCACAAACAAGTTGCTTTAATTTTGCCGGGCTTCTTGACTCTGGGGTTGCTCACTGTAATAGTCTTGAAGAAATTTCCAGGAGGTATTTTTGTCTTAATGAGATGAGCAGTTTTCATAATGCTGAGCGTCTGCTTTTCTAAATTAAGGAAGTTTCTTGTAATAGCAGGGCCATCAATAGCCTATAGGAAACCAACCAATCCCCACTGTGGATTTCATTTAAGGTAAGACGGATGACTTTCACCCTTTAGGCCTGTGTCTCCCTGTTCATGGCCTACACAAATGTCATAAATGCTGCAGTTCAAAAGGATGACTGGTACTATGCACTCCTTTTTCACTGTTGCTTTTGAATCATGAAATGTCAGGGTTCGTTTATTCCACTTGTTCTTTTTTCAGATTAAAAAAACTGAGTCCTTCAAAGATTATGAGATTTGCCCAGGACTTCTGATCCAGGTCCAGTGCACTGCCTGGTCCTCAGGCTACCTCTTGGTGATGTCGGTATATTTGCTTTTGTTTTCTTACGGGTGAACTGTCCCCAGGTGTCTGCTGCTAATATCTTAAATGGTGGAATGCAAAATGATACAATGCTTTTCAGCCGTTTCATTGTGAATTTACTCCAGATAGTTTTTGTTTAATCAGAACAATATTTCCTAGGTTGCCAGGCAACACGGTGATGCAGTTTCAGGCTTTGCTGCCAGCCAATGAAATAGAAAGGGCTTTGTCTTTTGCTTTCAGAATGAACTTCTTCTTCTCTTGCACTCTTTCTAGATTTCTGTTCACTTTGTGTTGAGGTCAAAGAGTCAAATAGGCATGAAGAAAAAAGTGTAAAAGCTAACTGAAGAGCAAATGAGCATCCTTCTTTCTGGTTCTTATACCTGGATGAATGTTTAGTGTGGACATTCCATTTATGTGTGACCCTGGGTTAGGTGGGAAGGTTGGCCTCTTGGAGAGTTACATTAAGACTCGACATAGGCCTGGCCAATTGAGGGAGGAAAAGCAGTTAAGTAAGATGAAATTAAAAGGTTGCAGCCACAGAGTAATTCATTCAGGTAAAAAATGCACCCATCTAAGGAAGGGCTACTGTGAGCTTTGGAGTAGAAGGCAGGAAATGATCGGGTACAAGTAAATTACAAATTCAAAATGGAGTAAATTGGGTTGTACTCTTCCATCACAGCTTTTCAACATGGTTTGAACCCATTCAGTTTTGTCAATGGAAATGGGAGGATGGCAATCTTGGAGAACACTGAAGAAAATAAATGAACGATTTGTGATTAGAAGAGAGACTAGAAGAAATAGTTTTGTTAATTAATTGGGCTGAGCCAGAGTGCTTCTTGTTACCCATCCATACATTTTCAAGCATTCCAATTCCATTGCTGCCATTTGTGTTACGTGTTGCTTTCTCTCCCATCACCTCATGCCTCTGGTGACCTCTGCTTCTCCTTCTAGGGAAAGGCTGAAGAATCCCTCCACTCCTTTTCACCAGGAAGCTCATTCACGTGTGCTGGTATTGTGGCCTCTGGGGTAAGCATTTTCCTACAAGGGGCCAAGAGGCTCCTGTGAAATGATCCAGGACCCCACATCACAGAAACCCAAGTTACTGGCTTCATGGAGGCCCTTTGTCACCTTCATCTTGACACCCCCCTGTCCTGCCTCCTGCCCTGCCTCCTGCCCCCCAGCTCCCTTCTCTACTTTGGGTCCTGGCCCCTCTTTTTGGATATCTTCTTTTATAAAATAAAACCCAGATGTTTGGCCCTGTTTACAGCTGCACTTCCGTTCCCCCTCACTCCCTACATCCTGCAGCATGTATCCACAATGAGTTTCCTTAATAAACAACACTCATCCGGAATTTCTCTGATCTGATTTCCTCTGCCTCACCTTTGCCAGAATCACACTTGCCAAAGTTTCCAATGACTCCCAGCCATCAACAAAAAAGGACCGTTTCCCATTCTTGGTCATCTATTCATCCAGTCAATCAAGCTTATTGTACTTGTCCCATGCTGGGCACATGTGGTGAAGGATGCAGTCCCTGCTCTCATCACACTTACCTTCTAGTAGAGGAGGAACCAATGAACAGGCACTCATGTCTGGCTCCTGACCCAATCTGAGGGTGGGCAATGGGTTGGTAAGTGCTTCCTAGGACTCTTCATAACTTGATCGGTTGGGTCATCAATTTACCGCTTAATACCTTTCTTTGCCTAAGCTACATGTTTTCCTTTTTATTTTATTTTGTTTTTTTAAAAGATTGGCACCTGAGCTAACAACCGTTGCCAATCTTCTTTTTTTTCTGCTTTTTCTCCCCAAATACCCCTAGTACATACTTGTATATTTTAGTCGTGGGTCCTTCTAGTTGTGGCATGTGGGATGCTGCCTCAGCATGGCCAGATGAGCGGTGCCATGTCTGCGCCCAGGATCCGAACAAGCGAAACCCTGGGCCGCCGAAGCTGAGCGCGCACCCTTAACCACTCAGCCAAGGGGCTGACCCCTACATGTCTTGCTTTTTAATTCAAGCTACTCTTACATCCTCTTTTGGAGATATGTATGTTCTGTGATCCTGTCTTTATAAAACCTCTTAATACAGCACATATTTTTAAATGTCTACTATAACCAGATCAACCTATACAAAAAGTGAAAGAGATTAAGAATCCAGAAAATGAGAGTTTAAAGGAATGCAAGAACAAATTGTTTAAGAAAATGGTGGCAAAACAAAACTTTTTTTTTAAAGATTTTATTTTTTCTTTTTCTCCCAAAGCCCCCTGGTACATAGTTGTGTATTTTTAGTTGTGGGTCCTTTTACTTGTGGCATGTGGGATGCCGCCTCAGCATGGCTTGATGAGGAGTGCCATGTCCGCGCCCAGGATTCGAACTGGCGAAACCCTGGGCTGCTGAAGCAGAGCGCGCGAACTTAACCACTCAGCCATGGGGCTGGTCCCCAAAACAAAACTTTTAACAACTTAGAAGGAGAATCTGGTCTTTTGGGCATTGATCATTTATAGATATTTACGAATGTCAGTGGGCAGCATTCAGGGATGCTCGTTCAACCAGTATGTACCAGATGATGGAGCTGGCTGTCCACGCCCAGCATTTGTTTTGATTGGTTGGTGCCATAGTGAATTTACATAAAGATAATCAAACGTTAGCTTCAGAACCTTTTACTTTCACAGCTGTATGACGGCCCTAGTAAAGTGTTCACATGGTCATACGTTTTTTAAAAATCTGTTACCTAAGATTAATGAACAATAGCTGGTTGAGACCACTGTCCCTTTCCAGTGTGACTTCCTCTTCATTACACTTCTCTTTGAATTGACGGCTGCAGGCATTTTTAGGATCAGGCGAAGAGAAGTGGAGTTAGGCAAACATTCAGTTTGGGTTAGAGGGATATATTTATGAGGCTCCCAGTCACTTCTGTGTATAGTTAAATATTTCCCCTTTGTGTAGGCATAGTTTCCAGAAATACTCCCAATGCCCATTGTACCGACCCGACAGTGCCATGACCCTGCTGATATTTAACATGAACCGGCTCTAATGCACCTGGCACCAGAAATATGTCGGTAGTAGAAGATAATCAAGGTTTGAAATGGAAGGAGCCAGAAGCTATTCAGTGATAAATTATCCCAGTTATCAGATATGTAAAATTTTAATCTGAGGATTCAATTCTCATCAGTGCCTCGTCAAAAGAGAAGTTTTCTTCTATCCAGTATATACCTGACAGTGCAGCATATACAATTACAAATGCACCATATAAAAAATTATTTTCCATACATTTCAATAGGAAATCCATAGAAATATTTTGATATTGAAAAGTGAACTGTAACAAAAAATTTCACATTATAACAAAAGCAATAATACATTAAGAAGATAAATTTTTGAAAAGAAGTAATGGATACACTCTTGGATACTTGACGATCTAATTAATGAAGAGGAACAAATCTGATGTCATCCCTAGACCCCAGCAAGACTGGCCTCTGCTCTGGGCATCTGCTCCAGGGGACCCAGCTGTAGCTTTCCAAGGGCGAGGAGTCCCTGGGCCGCGAGGGGACATGTGCCTTTCAGTAGTGTTAACCAGTGGAACATTTTTGTCAAGAAATCTACACCTGCTGCCCCAAGCTGGAGACCAGTATTTGGAAAGCACATTCAGGAAAGACATTTGTAAAGCACCCTGGAGAGAGAGTGGCCAACCAGATCACATAGCTAGTGTATTAGACATGCCAGACAATAGAAAAACGAAGCACCATTTTGTGACATGTAAAAAGTAGCCACCCACTTAGGCCACCCCACAGGAACAAGGGAGAGCCAAGTACCTCAGAATAATAGAGTTAAGAGGAAGTTGGCTGGTGAGTGACTCCACTGGAGAGGTGAATATCATTGTGATGGGTGGATGTTGGCTGGCAAGGGCCCGACAATGAGAGGCCTGCGCTTTGCCTCCCAGAGCCTGGAGGAATGTGTGGTGACCCTTGCATCCTGCTTGCCTGCCTGGCTGAGGCTGCAGCCAGACTATGAACTGAAATGAAAATATCCTTCTAAGGGTATTTCAGGTTCAAAACCCAGTTTGCTAGTGGGAGGAAAAGGATGTTATCTGATGACAGATAGCAGTAGCCAATGTCTGACTGTTACTCATAGAATCAACATATGCTGGGAATTCCAGGGAGGTGTGTTCCAGAAAACTTGTATCCTAGCACTTGACTTCTGATTTAGGGAAACAATGGAGCCTCAAGGGTGGGGAAGGGTGTGTGTGATTGTGGAGCTGAACATTCATCTCTAGTCACCCTGTGACTAGAGCTATAAGGTCACTCCACCATTCCTCAAAAGCTTGGGGATTCCTCAGAAAACCAAACCCTGGAATATGATGCTTACTGTTATTTAACTCACTCCACAAATATCTATGGCGAGCTTGCTCTGTGCCAGACATTGGTGCTAAGAACAGGAACATAAAGACACAAAAGATAGAGTCCCGCCCCCTAGAGTTTTGCAAATTTAGGATTACAGAATTACGTTCTGACAAAGAATGACCTGGCAGCAACTGGCAACTACTTGTTAATTCTTTGGAAGCAGGCGTTGGATAAGTTATGTGAATGAATTTTGGACTGGGAGCGAAGATGGATATTTGCAGTAAGTTAATTCTGGGCTCCAAGACCTTCTGTTTCATAACAAATCTATTTTCCCTTCACTCTGCTTTTCAACACATCAAGGTTGGCTGCCTCATGGGTCTCCGGATGAGTAGAATTACTTTGAGCATTCAGCAAAGGTCACAACTCTCTGTTACTAATCTTGTAACTATCTATTAGGTACAAAGCCCTCCGGTGGCTCCTTCCAAATTGGTCCATTGCTTCATGGATGGTGAGAATGGCTGATAAGGGCTGGTAATGGCCCTTAATCTGGGGACCATAGCACCAGCTGTTGGGAATTTTGCCAAAGCCAGAGTGTACCTCGGTTAACCCTGGGAGTTTACACAGTGGTTCTGCTGTAAAAGGGTATACTCCTCCCTCAAGAAAGCCAGTTGGGTCAAAACAGTGGAATGTTTTCAGGGCTGTAATGTGAGTAAATTCTGAAACAAATAGCCGTGAAGTCAGTGCTTTATCTTCTTCCAAAGCTGGAAACATGAATGCTATTCTGTGCTTTCAAGTTTAATGGCTTGTAGCGATAGGGCAGAACATTCTTACATTATGAAGTACGGGCTGTTCTGTATGGTGGTCAAGAAGACTAGCTGACATGTCTCCATGTTTGGGGAAAAAGAGAGAATATCCTAAAACAAAGGACCAGAGAAGTGAATAAAAGTTCCATAAAAAGTTATAGTTGATGGTCCCAAGGACTACAATTTAGCTATAGTCTTGCCCCTATGGACCTTGAAGTGGCAGAAGTTGGACTCCTATAGTTCTAAGTGTCTCATTCAATGCGGTTGTGGGCCAGATCCTAAGAAAAACCCAATTTAAGCATAAGGACACTGAGCTGACAAATATCCAGGCAAACAGACTCTTCTTTGCTCTTACTTGCTTTCTAAACTAGTTAGTTTGAATTATTTGTGTGGTTAAAAGTTAATGCTTGTGTGATACAGTTTACTCTGTAGTTCACAAAAGTGACGCTAGTGATAGTTGTTTCTAGAACATGTCTAGATTCATTGGCATATTTGATAAATTACTTCTCAAGTCTCTCAGACATGCTTCCTAAAAAGAGCCTTGAAACATCTTCCTCAGTGCCTTAGACAGTTCTTTGAATGGAGTAGGTGACTGGCAGTTTGTGGTTGCTGATGCCTGATGATGATGATGATGACGATGATGATGATGACTATGACAACCAATGTTCTGAGTGCTCACTATGCACCAGGCTCTCTACTCTGCACTCTGCATTCATTAGTTCAATTAGTCATCATCATTCATTGAGTCAGGTATCCTCAGCTCCATATCATAGATGAAGAGACTGAGACAATAAGAGGATAAGTCACTAATCTATGTTCACATGGTGCATAAGTGGGAAAGGGACCCAAGTGTTTCAGATTCTAAAGCCTAAGGTCGTATTGCTCTAGTCTATTGATTTCATGATGCTAATGAACCTTGACTACCCTCTGTTCCTGTCCTCACCAGATAGATATCAAACCATACAAATAAACCAGGTTTTTGCCCCAAAGATGCTATTGTTGCTTTAGAAGATGTATCTCAGAGGTCAAAAAAAGAGAAAAATTGGGAATCCAGTCTTCTTTTAATGGGATATTTGCTGCCAGGTTTTGAGGAGCATCTTAAAGATGCTGTTCACTTTGTCATTAACAGATATATTTTTCTCTTTTTTCCTACTGAAAAAAAGAAAGGAACAAAATACTGTCCAATGGACCAAGCAGTTCTGATGTGGCGACTCTAGTTCTGGCCTGAGCACCCTCACTCACAGGCCATGTGATTAAATCCAAGATACTTGCTCATCCATCATGCAGAAAACTCATGGAGATCAGACAGTTTGCCTCCCACCTGGTAAGGATGTAATGGGTTTAATGTGGGCGGAAGTGATTTTAGTCTCTCTGCTGGACTTTGTAAGCCAATGGGTTGTATGGCTCTTTCTGCCCTAAAACTTGTTAAGAAAAAGATTCTCCAGATTGAGCAACCAAATGTTTCATTAAATTAATTTGATACATTCTTCCCTAAAAAAAGAATATGAAAAAGGACAAAAGAGAACATGTACGTTTAGGGAAGAGTATACAGTTTCAGGGCTCCCTTTCAGCTAACGAGAATTGCCCATCAGTGTAAAGACTTGGTGCCATCCTGGGGGTTAATATCCGAGGGGGGCGTGGGCAAAAAACACCAGTGCCTGGGAGTCGGTCCCGTGTGATGTTGAAGAACAGCCCTTGGAGGGGAGCCTGGAAGGGAGAAGGCGAACCCTCACGGAGATGGCTGGTGCTCAAGGGGAACAGGGCAGGGGCTCCAGGGATGGGAAAACAGCCACTTCTGGGGTATTATTATTCATCGTAACCCTCCTACCACTTATTATCATGGTGTCTTCAGTCTTTTACTTTCTAAAGCAAGTGTACATATATTGCCTCGTTTTCTCCTTTTTACGGGAAACCTGTGAAGTGGATGGTGCAGAGATTATCCCATTTTTCTCCTGAAGCCATGGAAGCTCAGAGAGCTCGGCTGACTCGCCGAGACTTAGTTTACTATGTGAGCTGGGATTTGAGGCTCCTTGACTGTGAGCTTGCCCCATGGTACACGGTCTGCATCTTTAATGTCACAACAGTACCCTGATAGCAAACACTATGTCTACAACACTGGCTCCCGGAATTTACAGAGAAAGAAACAGTTTTCAAATAGAATCAGTTAAAATGCATTTGGGCCTAAAGTCTTACAAATGTGCAATTTATTCTTGCTAGTGAGCCTTGAGGTTAAGGGACTTGAGTTTTATATATGTATATATAACTCTACCTTCAAAAAATCTATTTAAAGAAGAAAAAAATCACCTAGAAGCCTACTATTTTTCCCTTGTTTTCCCCACAATGAACATAGATTCATATTTTCTTTCTGATTCTTAAGTAACAAGGCATTATTATATAAATTCAAATAATATATAAAAACACAAGGAAGAAAGTCAAAGAATTGCGAGTTGATTGCCATCACAGTTGGAAGAGCAGCATTCTAGCATGCATATGCTCTCTGTGCAGAGACTTGGAGCTTCCTAGTTAAGGAAACCTAGGCTGGTAGCCTTTTATAAAGAGAAATAATCACCAGAAATTTTCTTTTACAAGACAGATTTTTCCTAACATCAGTGTGCTTAATGTGGAGCGCATCTACACTTGATAACCACCTTGCAAAAATAGAGAAAATGAGTACATTGGGGCAAGCCAGTATTTTGAAGAGCAAGGAGGTGGAGATTTGTAGGAGATGGAGGAAATATCTGTGTAGACATTGAGGACGAGGTTTAGTCTGTTCAGTTCAACAGGCTCATCTTGAGTTCCTACTCTGTCCGGCACGAGGTACACAGAAAAAGAAAGGTTTTATCCTGCCCGCAGGGTCTCTCAGGCCAGTGATGGCAGATGACTTCTGAGCCTGGGGGGGTGAGGTAAACGTAGATCTGAGTGCTGTGGGAGCTGGGACTGTACCCCAGCTCTTGGTGTTAGGGAAGACTTCCTGGAGGAAGTAACACCTTAATTGGGTCTTGAAGGAGTTAACCTGGTGTGGGAAGGATAAGCCATTCCAGGCAGGAGGAACAGTGTTTGAAAAGGCTAGGTAGGATAATGTGGTGCATGGAGAAAAAGCACAGATGGTTCAATATGGCCAGACTCTGTGTGTGTGTGTTTAGTGGTGGGTGGGGATAGGTCGACCAGATCAGGTGGGTCTTGAATGTGAAGGTAAAGCAGTTAACACTTAATGCTGGAAACAATGGACAAAGCAGTCACATGGTAGGTTTGCAAGTAGGAAGATGGCTAGGGCAGCAGGGTGGATCTGAGAGGGCAAGATTGGGGCAGATAGGAGACTTGGCCAGAGTCCAGGGGAGGAGCCATGAGGGCATGGGGGAGCCCAGGTGCTGGGGATGGGAAGGAGGGCTGGGAGGAGAGCAGAGGGTTCGGGAAAAGGGCCTCCAAGGCAAACCAGGAGCTGCAAACCCAGAGCTCGAGCAGTGGAACCCGCTGCCCAGGACCACCCTGCTGGGGGACAGGGCGCTAAAGAACCAGGGAGACTAGCCCCTAAGATTTTTCTCAGGTGAGCTGAGGCAGTGGAGAGAAATTTTGTTACCTTTATTGGGAAAGAGGAAAGAATAAATTAAATAATAATACTAGGATCTTTGAAAGAGGAGTATAGGAAAAATGTACAAAATTGGGCTCAGCTTTCTCCTCAGACCCAGTCCAGAGATCTTCTAAGATGTGAGAGAGAAAAGTTAAGTGTAACAGATGCTGGGGTGCCCACCCAGACAGTAGTCATGCCCCCAGCAGCCAGGAGTGCTGGTGGCTGACGCTCTCCACTGTGTCCCTGTCTGGGATTTGCCAGGCCAAGGTCATGTCCACTTCCTGACACAGTTGGCACCCAATGACTGATCATTATGGGGTACAAAGGCACAGCCCCCTCGACTTAATTCAGGGCACTGCTGACCTCCCCATGGGTGAGCCGAGGCTTGGGTTCTGATAGCATTGAAGTTTAACGTCTCCCTCCACCCAATCCTACTTCCTTTACTCCCCACAGGTCTTGATCCACAGAGCACTTCTTAAGACCCTTCCCGGACCCACGTCTCCATCTGAAGTCTGTTTCCCGGGAACCTGATCTGCAGCCTTGAAGAAGTGAATCTAAGCAGATGCTCTGAGAGGACAGAGGCAAACTGGATTCTTCTTTTCTAGGAAGATTGGTGGTCAGAATTTATCCCATCAGTGAGGCAGGTGAAGGTGTTCTCTGGGACTTTGATGCCTGGCCAAGTCCCCAGAGTATGGGCTTTGATATCAAACAGACCTGAGTTTGAATATCATCTCTGTTACTTATCAACTCTGAGATTGTGAGAAAGTCACGTCATCTCAGGTGCCTCAGCTGTAAAACAGGAAGTCATACTTACCTTGCAGTTACATTCACTGTCCAGTCATACTTACCTCCCCATACCTACATTGTGGGACAAACAAAATGGCTGTTCTTGCTGTAATTCCTAGTGTTTGGTGCATAGAATGGTCCTCAGGGAGTGTTGACGAATGATCAGCGAACAACACTGATGGTAGATGTCCTTCAGGGCGGTATTGGCAGTAATCCAAATGGCTTTGGAATTTAAGGAAAGAAGTATAAAGAATAAAAGGAAAATATATCATGGTGGAAAGAGAAGGTTATTGCTGCCAAGACCAAGATGAGTAGACTGATCCAAACGACACAAATTCAATTCCTGAAAGATATCCTAGCAAGTCAATTCAATTAAGAACATTTTAAAGCATCTGCTATGAATGAGATACTGAGGGAAGACCCAACATGATGACCATTTTCTGGAGGACCCTACTTATAACTCTGTTAGTGTCTTAAAGAATTTATTTTATGAGAAAAGAGCCTATATAATCATTAAATATAGTCACGGCATGGAATGGGTGCTCAAAAAATATTTACTGAATGAAGTATATTATGTGAGACACTTCAAGTTGTTAAGTGTCTCAGGGCTAGTAGAATTTGTACTGTGTAAGAATGAGATATTTTAAAACAAAGACGATATGTCACAGAGGTTAGCCAAATGAAAAAGTGGAAACTAACTGAGAAAGACCGAAGCACTTAATCCAGCAACATTCTGAAGAGTAAAGGGACTCAGTGAGAGGTGGGAGGGTACAAGATAGGGAACTTGAGAGTTCTGAATGGATTTAACCCTTCTCATCTGTGCTCACAAGAGGAGCTGCCAGAATGCCAAAAACAAACCAGGGACAATCTCTAAAGGATTCCGAATTTGTCTTTGAGTGTTTTATAGGATGATTCTTTTGGTTCATATCTATTGTCCTGGTTATATTGGTTCCAATGTTGCATTCCCCGAGCACAAACCAGCTAGTAGTAAGAGATGAGGGCCAGCTATGTGTTGGGGAACCTTTCCTCCCTGGGATTAAAATTGTGGACATATATAATCCACAGATTGGGTAGACAGAGCCGAGAGGAAGTTAGTCATCCTGGATATCTGAGTTTTCCAGATCCCAGGTGAAACTTTACCCCAGAGATCATAAGCTCAAATGCCCATGTTGTGAGGCAGGTCAGGTAAATGAGGAAAGCAGTCTGTGTATAAAGGAAAAAAGAACGGTGGATGTGCCCTTCCATAACTATGGTTCATCCATACCATGGACCACGACACAGCTATGGAAAGAAACCAAGTATTGATACACTCGATGACTTGCACGAATCTCGAGGGGATTATGATGAGTGAAAAAACCCAATCCTAAAAGACTACACACTATATGATTCCATTTATATCACATCCTTGAAATGACAAAATTATAGAAATGGAGACCAGATGAGAGTTTACCAAGGGGTCAGGGATGGGGGTTGTAATGGGATGGGGGTGGGCTCATGAGGGATCCTCGTGGTGATTGAACTGACTCTATCAACGTCAAGGGTTATGGTGTGGTACTAGAGTTTTGCAAGATGTTACCATTCGGGGAGATGGGAAAAGGAACACAAGATCTCTCTGTATTATTTTTTACAATTGCATGTGAACTTACAATTATCTTCAAATAAAAATTCAATTGAAAAAAGGAATGGTGGGGACTGCAGTGAACTAGAGAGCACATGGCTCTTTTGAAGGGCAACAAAATAAAAAAAAAGTTGCCATACAGTGCAGACCCCAAATAACAAGCACCTCCCCCCAGACTACCCAACCAGCCAACCGACCAAGAAATAAAAATGTGTAATCCCTGGTCTATTCACTTAAGTGCTCAAAAAAACTTTAAAAATTGTAACCATTTTAGATGTAAGTCTTTAAAAAATCTATTACATATTCCTCTGCCTTCTTAAACATAGTATACTGAAAATAGGGAAATAATCTCACCTGTTCCTGGAAGCAGGATGCCTTCATCTGACAGTCATAGATAACCTGCTGGAAAAGGCTTAAACCCCGTGAAAATGGGATGTGTTTGCATGAGAAGAAGTTGGGGCAGAGGGTCAGAGAGTTTAGGGCTCTTTCAAAGTTATTACGCAGAACCGAGCTGCTGTGCTTTGTAAGGTTTATGATTGCGTTTAGGGTCTTCCTGTCTTTTTTACTGTCGGGCTCATAGTAATGTTTTCTCGATACTGTCAGCATGCCAGCTTGCAGTCAACTCTCATTTCCTTCTAATTTATTGTGTGCTTGCAAAGTGGGTAACAAAATGTATTGGCACGTGTGTGTGTGTGTGTGAGTAGACAGGGAATCTGGGGGAATCTGAGTAGTCACACTTTTGTATGTAGTCTTTTTAACATCTATTTTGACTCCTCAAAGGCCTTATTGGTTCCAAATAGTCAAGACATCTGAGAAACTGCATTTTGAAAAGGTAAAATGAAACTTAAAAATGGAAACTGCATGTTGCTTTGCTTATTTCAGACTGACCAGAATAATGTTTCTGAGAGGTGGCTTGTAAGAGGGTTAAGAACCTAGACTTTGCAGCCAGACTGTCTAGTTCAAATCCTGGCTCTACCACATACTAGCTGTGTGACTTTGGGCAAGTTACATAACTGCTCTGTGCCTCAGTTTCTTTACCTGTAAAATGGGGATGGTGATACTAATACCTATCTCATAGGGTTGTTAGGAGGATTAAATGAGTTGATATCTGTAAAGCCCTTAACAGAGTATCTGGCACACAGTAAGTGCAATATATGTTTATATCTATTAAGCAATAGTAACAACATGAAAAAGAAATCTTGCCAACCACTCCTCACCATCCTCATGTAACTCCCGTGACCAGCAGGTCTGGCAGGTTTTCAACCATGGGTGAGTAAGGTCGCCTAAGGTAGTTTTTCCTAAGATTTCTGGATTATTCTCAGCTGGCCTTATGGCAGCACCTGAGCCCTTTCTCTAGCCTGTGTCTCTCTGGGAGTCACGCATTTGGGGTGTGGAGAGGGAGGAGTGGAGATGCGCATTGTTTCGTATGATCTTCCCCTGCCTGGACCCGCCATCCCTCTGTCCCCACTATTGCTCTGGCTGCCCCTGTTGGCCCCCATCTGCTGTCCCTGTGGGTACCAATTTCACATTCCTGGGAGAGACAGTCTGATGGGTCAGGCTGGTCCAGCTTGGACCTCAGCTGTGGCTGGGGACGGTGTTCTCAAGTGGCATCAACAGGGCTGAGGGGCTCCTCATAGAAGGTGGGAGGCAGCTGTGGAAAGTTGTGATCCAGAGCTGGGCAGGCACTCAGCAATGTGAATGTTGCACTGATAAGCCAGAGCAAATATTGGTTTGGGATTTGGGAGACCTGGGGGCTGGAGTTAGCTGCTTACTAGCAGGGTGACCTTAAAGAAGCCATTTAACCTGCCTAACCCTCAGTCTCCGCATCTGTAAGGTGGGGATGGTGGTAATACCTGTGTCTCTTACCTCACCAGACCAGGACTGGCTACGTAGTTTGCCGGCTCCAGTGCAAAATGAAAGTGTGGAGCTCTTTGTTCCAAAATGATTAATATCAACATGGTGACAGCAGAGCATTAAACCAAGCAGGGGGTCCTTTTAAGAGTGGGGTCCTTTGTGGCTGCACAGCTCGCATGCCCAGGAACCCACCCTGCACAAGATTGTAAAATGCAAAGCCTTATGATAAGTTATACATCTTTCACATATGCATTTTGTTGTTTTAATCTTAAAATGGTTTTTAAAAGAAGAAAACTGAACTTACGCTTCTGTGAAGGCTGCCCAAGAGAGCCGATCTCCAGCTGATGTGCCCCGGGACATGCTGGCCTGCTGTTCACAGCTGCATCCATCCGAGATGGCCAGCACTCGTGCTGTTGAGATGGTGGTGTGGTCTCCAGCCTCACCTCTGCACACGACTCATCACGGTGGAAGACAGTGTTTCTGCTGCCTCTCCCTCTCTTCCCGCCTTCACACGCTCAGAGGGGAGGCTCCGTGAGGGTCTCCTGGAGGGAGCTCTGGCATGTGGCTGGGATACCCAGACTTGAGAGGTCCCTGCCTGACCCCCCCTCTCCCCCCAGAGCTACCACCTGGGAGCCCTCCCTTGGGACTGGCACCTGGCAGGGGGCTCTGGAGGTACGTCACATGGCTCTCAGGGAAGGAATTCATTCTCCCGTGGAGAAGGGACCGTGGCCTTTTCATCTTTCCCATCAAACAAATGATTTCTGCCTTTGGTGTGCTCTGCATTCTCCGCTCACTCGAGCCAATCCAAACTGCGCTGTCGAGTAAACTTACTGTCCACTGACCTCGTCCACGGGGGGCTGAGCCTCTCTCTTTTTCAGTCTTCTGTCTCTGCAACAGTCTGGCTCCCCAAGGACTGACTGCTCATCACTTTCTTGATAAGAAAGGGCTCTAGAAGTTTCCTTGCTAAGGAAACTGATTTGAGGGGCTCCACCAGGTTGCCCTGAGGCCTAGTCTTGCTTCTACTCCTTCCTGCCTCTCCATTTCCACGTGGTGCCCAAGTCAGGACCACGCGCCAGCCATCCACCCCCAGTCCGCTGCCCCTGGGGAGTAGTGGGTAAAGCTTATCCCTAACTTCCTTCTGGGATGTCCATGTGACCCACCAATGGTTTATCAGCTAATAAAGTGATGTGGAGGAAGGAAAGGAGGAAGAAGGGGGAGAAGGAGAAAAGGAACACCATCTATCCAGAGGAAATTCAAGATAACCACATTCCTCACCTCTGAAATAATGGGAAAAATTGTCTAATATTTCAGGGCCGTTTCCTTCTTACGAATGCCTTGCATTCCAGACCCCAAGGGAGACACGTGGAAATCAGAGCGTACTTTCTTAAGAAACACCATTGTGCATGGTGGTTCTCAGCCCGGCCCACAGAAGCCCTTTGACCATATGGACCTGAAGGATTAGACTAATAAACCAGGTTAACAACCTCCAACCCCCATCTCTAGCAGGCTCTATGATGCACTGACGAAACCTCTGTTACATCTTGGAGGGCAGCCACAGCTGACAGAGGGGGTGCAATCCTTCAAGGTCTGGCATTTTGCATAATTAAAGACACTTTTGTGAGGCCCCTTCTGTAAGGCCCCTCACCAGATATGAACATCCTCATAAAGGAGGTGCCTTTTTTGGGGGAGGGGACCAACACATCCTCTTTGGCAAAATTTGCGCAATGGAGGTGAAGGTTGGACTCCAAACCCAGATTCCCCTGTTGCCTGGTGCTCACAAGAAGAGTGTCACAGCATTGTTACATTCGTGTGTATGCGTGTGTGTGTTTTGCAGAAAGCCCATTTTGTACGCTTTCACTGCAGCTGCAGGCCTCAAGGACTTGACTGTTTTTATAATGACAATGAATAAAAGCAAAGTCTTTGAAGAAAAAAGTTCATTTTGATTTTTCAAGACAAGTCAGCAGGAGCCCCAGAGACTCGCCAGTCCTTTTCGTCCTGTGCTCCCTGCTCGGAGCTTCACATTCATGTGTTGTTTGCTGTAACTGAAAAATGCCTCGGTCTCTAGAAAGCTAAGTGGATGCAAATGGATTTGCAGTTGTCAGTGTGGAACAGTCTCCAGCGGCCGGGAGCCCCGAGACAACTTTGATGGCCCTGACAGAGCCGCCCTTGTACCTCCTCGGGAAAGCTGGCTGCCCGTGCCTGCTTCTAGCCATCTGAAGCTATCTGGGACCTCGCTTCTTTTTATGAGGCTGCAGGAGATGAAAGCAGAAGCCACGTTAATTATTGTAAAGTGCTTTTTACTTTTAAAGTGCTTCGTTGGCGTTAATTAGTTATTCCTACTTACAGCACTGTGGTGAGGTGGGTGAGAATGATTACCTTTTCTACCTTGGAGGAAATGAAGACACAAAAATTTAATGACTCCCCAGGGGACCCCCGGGGGAAGTTGGTCTCTTACACAGAGTTAGGTTTCCAATAGAGTGTGTCTGGCTTCCTCCCCGGGTCTTGCATAGCTGCTGTACCTTGCTGCCACCATTAATATCCTAAGTGCTTCTTCGGCAGGGATGACTTCTGGCTGCCTTTGTCAGAAGAAGTTGGATTTGCCAGAGGCTTGGGTGATTGGAGACAAAGCAGAGAGGTCGCTGCTCCTTTCTCAGTCGGCACAGAGGCAAGGAAGCCTGTTGTTTGTGGTCCTCTGCTCGTCTAAAGAGGGCAAGGTTTGGGAGGAAGGTTGCTCCTGGTCAGGCGCCCAGGGAGGGTGATGGAGAAGGGGAGGGAGCGAAGGTGTGGCGATATGGGCTGTTTCTAAGAGCTCCTGTCCCTGGCACACACGTTCTGGGTTGTTTCTTGTCTGCGTGGGTTAGGAAGCAGATGTGCTGATGCCTTCCTATTCTTGGGCAGAAAATAATTAAATGTTGGGAAAGGACCTTCCACACGGCAGGGTGGCGGGGGAGAAATGCGCTTCAGAATCAGACAGCTCCTGGTTCATGCTCTGGCTAATCCAGTTGCCAGGGAAGTGGCTCTTAGTGTCTGGTTCCTCATGTGTAAAATGGAGGTGATAAATGAGCTAACAGACTTGAAGTGTGTGGCACAGACTCTGTTAATGGTTTTCACCGAATCACTGTTTAATCTCTTTTTTCCCTTCTCCACTTCCAGGCTGAGTTAGAATTTGGTCTTTTCACTTCAAGCCTCTCCCTTTCCATCTGATGTCTCCTCAGATTTGCGCGAATATCCTTCTCATCTGCAAATTCATCAGATAACCATGAGGAACTCCATCTGAGTGACATCCTTCATTTCTGCACACAACTTCTGTGTTGGCATAGGGCAGGCAGGACTGCTATCTTAAGGAAGAACAGCACAGGGCTAAGAACAGAAGGTGGAGGTGGAAGACACTGGTCCGTGGGGGAAGGAAAAAGCTCAGTCCGCCCAGACCCAGCATCTCTCCTTGAGCGGCCCCACAGCGTGCCTTTCTCCGGGGTTCATTGTAGGGATAGGAGAGGAGGCTGGCTCACAGCTGATGATCACCGTGTTCTACCGTTTCCCATCGTCTGTCATCCCCATGCCTATAGGGCCCCCCAGAAGCAATCTCTGATTCCAATCCAACCCGCTCTAGGCTCTGTGCCCTCTCTCTAGGTGAGGCGCAATGTTCAGTCCCATGTGAGCCAGACTTTCCTCCGTGAAGGGAAGTGGAGGGAGGTGAGACAAAGCTCAAGTGTTTTGTGCCCACCTGGAGTAGTGAGCCTCACCTTTCCTTTGACCGCCCTGTCCCCAAGAGGCCTCACATGAAACGTGACTTCCCCATGGGGTACGCTGGCCACTTGTGTGCTGGGACCTTCTCAGGTGTTTGCAGAGAAACCTCCAGTCCTTTTCCTTTAGGCTTTTGTGCTGGACGGCCCACTTGTCCCTTACTAGTCTGGTGACCTTGGGTAAGTTCCTTAATGGCTTGGTGTCTTGTTTCCTCATCCACAAAGTGGGAGAATAATAATAATATCGATCCTCTTACAAGGATCACATGAGTAAAGACAGTCAAAGCACTTCAAACAGAGCTGAACCAGCTATTCTTATTAACTTGAGTGCACAAGGGAGAGAAAGGACACTGCCTTGGTTATAATGGAGCATGAAGGGACTCGCTTCATTGCCCTTGAACACAGGAGAGCCCGGGAGGGG